GGTTTAGGGTTTAGAGTTTAGGGTTTAGGGTTTAGGGTTTATAAGGGTTACGGTTTAGGGTTTATAGGTTTAGGGTTTAGGGTTTAGGGTTTAGGGTTTAGGGTTTAGGGTTTATAAGGGTTTAGGGTTTATATAGGTTTAGGGTTTAGGGTTAGGGCTTAGGGTTTAGAGTTTAGGGTTTAGGATCAGCAGCTTCGGATCGAGCAGGTTCTAGTCGCTCTCAACTCCGGAAACCATCCCACCCAAGATTCCCATATCGTTAGGAAACCATTCTACTTTTATCAAATTCGAAGGCCGAAATCTTAAACCCCAAACCCCAAAACCCCGGTCTTAAACTCTAACGCTCAAAAACCCAGGCCGGCTTCGTGAGAATTTGGCGATTTTCTTGGCGAGTGGAAATCGCCAAATTCTCACGAAGCCGGCACTTCGTGAGAATTTGGCGATTCCTTGGTGAGAATCTGGCGAAAAACACCTCGAAATCCCCAAATTCTCACGAATGAAGTAAGGTTTATATTCATATGATAAAGAGTGTTTAGAGTTTAGCGTTTACGGTTCAGGGATTGGCGTTTAAGGTTTTAGGTTTAGGGATTAGGGTTTAGGAACTCGGTACGAGGGCTAAAGGGTTGCGGCTTCGGGGGTGGAACAATGGGTTTGTAGGGCTCTGGGGCTTTTGGTTTAAGGCTTGGGGCGTCAACGTCTTCGCAGGCCTCACAGTCTTAATGTGGCCACATAGAGCCTAGGGGCCTTTTCCAGTCGGATAAGGTTTTAAGTAATGTCATAGTATAGGTTCAGGGTTTCACGTGATAGTTTTTGTTCAATATTCTCCCAACTTTCTTGGCACAAATTGAAACACCCCTGAGACTTGGGGGGAGAGATGGGAGAGTAAGCAGCAAGCCTAAACCATTGCACTCTGAACCCTGAAACCCACAACGCTAAAGACTCTATAAAGCCTAAGCCATGACAGGTGAGGTTCAGGGTTTGAGCGTCTGGGGAAGGGACACACGGTTGGCTTAGCTAGATGTCCAGCTCCAGACTACAGGGGCCCTAGTAGGCCGTAGTAACTTGCCAGCAGAACTTGAATTTACCCACAGGCTCCATAGTAGTTCCTTTTTAGGATTCCCTTATAGGATCCTAAATATAAACCACAAAAAGGAGCTACTCTGGAGCCTATGGCTAAGGAACAGCCATACATGGTTGGAAGAGGAGAACTACGGGTTAACCTTCGGGGTTTTATAGGGATTATAGTTGGCTTCAGCTTGCACGCCGAAAGGGCACACATGAAACGACGATTTAGCTGATTGGAGCCTTAATTATAATCACACTACGAAATAATTCCTACGGCCACTACGGCAAAAGATGAAAGGTTGCCGTGGCGGGCTGCTGCTCCCCGTGGTTTGGGGTTTGGTGTTTAGGGTTTTGGGTTTCGGGTTTTAGAGTTTCTTTGTCACCTCTTTTCCACCTGCCTGAGTTCGTGTTTTAGAGTTTATGGTTTAAGGTTGGCGGATGTGACGAATTTAGAAGGGAAGCCTAGGAAAAGGGAGAAGTCAAGATCATGTCCAGTACTCCTGAAACTTGAAACTCCATGGGGTGCAGCGCCAACCCTAGCAAATATGGCCTGCGCTTTAGGGGAGCTGAAACCCTGAGGTACGCTGTAGGCTTTTAGGGATAGGTTTAGTAGGGTATGCCTGGTTGCACATACTAGTTACTAGCAAAATCGCATAATTTGCATGCCATCTTTTGCAGCTGAAGGGGCCCCACATGGAAAGAAACTGGTCCGGCACGGTTCCAGTCTGAGTCTGGGAGTCGGAGCTCTCGTGGTGAGGCTTTGGGGCTGTCGGCCCTTTTATGGGAGAATTTCTTCGACCAGACGTGGGTCTGTTGTAAGCTATGGCTGTCTCGGGACTAACAGACTCTTGCCCCTGCTGCACAGGACCCAATTAACACAGCGTCAAGGTGCCAGGGAGAGGCAGGATCTAATATGTCAGGCGAATATGCGGGAATTGGTGTGCAGGGAAAGATGTAGTGGCCTTCAGAATTAGACTCCTCCAGATGCCTAACCCCACAGCCCTCAGCCCTAATAATAATCACGGTTGCCTATGTGGGTTCGATGCTTCGGGCTGGAGGGCACGAACATGAACATCGGAGCCCGCATAGATGCAGCATCAAGTATTCCTTGGAAGTTCCTATTCACCCATACTGCAAAGCTTTGTGCTTGAGCTCGGCCATACCGGGATGTGTTACCGGGACAACTTTCTCCCCGGTACATCCGACGTAGCTCTTAACTTGCTCAGGCCCCTCTGGCCCTATGGCATCCGGATGAGATCCAGGACGGATTGCTGTCGACTTGATTCTGCGGTTTTGGATGGGGAACTGATGGGTCTTGTTTGGGACTAGGACTTGGATCTCGATTCGGTCTGAGGCTAAGGATTTCGTCAAGGTGTGGGCTCGTTTTCCGGGACTCAATTCCGATCAGCACAGCTGCAGACATTCGCGACATATCTAAGTGCCATAAATGCATACTATACACATGCAAATGTGCACGCACGTGGTTCGTAGATATATAGACGCATGACATGCCTTGTGTATACATCAGCCAGCACACTCACGCAAACAAACCCACGGGCTACGAGCCCAATGCAACAACACACACACACACAACTCCAAACCTTTCTAAACCAACTTGGAGCAATAAAGGCCCTTAGCTGCACAATCCATGAGTGCAGCGAAGCTAGGCACCTGAACTCTAAATCCTAAAGCTGTAGAGCTCTGCAAGCCATACACCCAAATGCTAAAGCACTCGGCCCTAAATCATAAACTTGCTGGCATCGCTCAGGCTTTTTGAGGAAGGGAATCGAAAAGGTCCGGTCCGTGCTAATTATGGGGTTGCTGTCTCTGATATCAACACCTTCCGGAACCCTTAGAACAGCCTTCGCGCTCGCCAACACCCAAAAGCTTAAACCTTGCCGCGCTGCAATCGCGGGCAACATGAGCGGGGCCAAGCCGTAGCGAATGAAGAAAGCACCTGTCGGAGCTCAAAAATGTAATGTAGGGACCTTAGTTCCTTACTACAAAAACCCTATTCTAACATTTAAAGCTCCTATATTACGTGACTAGCATTTCGGGCTCCATGCCTTTCGTTCCAGATCCAGCACTCCATACAAGATGCCTTATTGGGTTTAGAGGTTTACTTTTTTGTTTGAGAGCTCTTTTGTATTCAATTAGAACGCCTCAAAGGCTGAGGTAGCAAAACAGAGGGGTTTACGGTATGGGGTGTTGGGGTTTACAGTTCCCCAACCGTTCCACCCGGAGCACGCACTGCTGCTCTCCCAAATCGCTAACCCCAGGTAAGTTTTGCAAACATCCCTAGCACCGCAGATCCAGGCGTTGAGCTTAGGACCTAGTCATGCCAGAATTGTTTCGGAATTACTAGACCTTACCCCACAGTAAGAAAACTTACATTTTTGTAGGGCCCCCTCCAAAAAAACTCGATACCCGGGTTTAAAATAAGAGCCTACAAAACAAGTAGGTTTTGGTAGTTCGAGGCAAGGTTCAGGTCGAGCACCTCACTCATCGTGACATGTGCAAGACATCTACTATAGGAGCCTGAATGATTAGAATATAGGGCTTTCTAGGGGCCATTCTACTATAATTATAACAAGGAACCCCGAAATAGTATAGGTAATGATCAAGGCCCCTACATTGTTACATTGTCTGCTTTTCCTAACACAAAATGATGAAGATGCTACTGCGCATTGACGAAGCCGCAAAATCCTAGAAATTTTGGGTGAGTCTCTGGGCCCTGAAGCCACAACCCCAACGAACCGCAACCTCGCACCGGGCTGGTTCAAACAAGATCAAGCACTAAACCATAAACCGTGAAGCCCTACGCCCCAACCCTGAAACCGAAACCCTAAACTCAAGGGCCCTAAGCCCCAAACCCTGAACAAGTGGGGTCATGAGTCTACAAACTGTCAGACTCGAAACAGGTGCACAAAAATTTCCATGAGGCACCTGTAACGGACAGATCAAACAATGTACCGAGACCCCGCTCCTAACCCTAAACCCTGAACCCCACTCCTTCTGGAGACACCCTAGACTACTGCAGTATACAGTATACTCGAAGCCGGCTCTTATAATGGAACCCCTACACTGTAGGGCTTACATGGACCCTATAAAACCTACCGGTTTAGGAATCTAGATTATAATTTATAATTCTTTCATGCCAGTCCCTCAAAGAGTAGGTTATTCCACGTGAAGGTAGGGTTTTATGGTTTTGCCATGGAGCCCCCTTGAACTACTCTAGTAGATCTTAACCCCTAAACCCTAAACCCCTAAGCCCTAATCCCCTAAATCCTAAATCCCTAGACCCTAAACCCTAAACCCTAAACCCCTAAAACCTAATCCCCTAAACCCTAATCCCCTAAATCCTAAATCCCTAGACCCTAAACCATAAACCCTAAACCCTAAACCCCTAAAACCTAATCCCCTAAACCCTAATCCCCTAAATCCTAAATCCCTAGACCCTAAACCCAAAACCCGAAACCCTAAACCATAACCCCTAAACCCTAATCCCTAGACCCTAAACCCTAAATCCCTAGACCCTAAACCCTAAACCCTAAACCCTAAATCCCTAGACCCTCAACCCTAAACCCTATAGGAACTGCTGGACCTTCAACAGTGGCAGCTGTGCAGCTGCTTTGCCTGGGGAGGTTGGATCTGGAGCTTCGTGGGTTTCGGGGAGATTCGGGGTTGAGGGGTTTAGGATTTAGGGTTTAGAGGTTGAGGGTTTATAGGGTTTCGGGGAGTTTAGGGGTTTAGGGGTTTAGGGGAGTTTAGGGGTTTAGGGGTTTAGGGGAGTTTAGGGTCCAGGGATTTAGGATATAGGGTTTCGGGGAGTTTAGGGGTTTAGGGATTTAGGGGAGCTTAGGGTTTAGGCGTTTAGGGTTTATAGGGTCCAGGGATTTAGGATTTAGGGCTTCGGGGAGTTAAGGGGTTTAGGGCTTAGGGGAGTTTAGGGTTTAGGGGTTTAGGGTTTAAAGGGTCTAGGGATTTAAGGTTTAGGGGATTAGGGTTTGTCGGTTGAGGAGTTTAGGGGTTTAGGGGTTTAGGGGTGTAGGGTTTAGGATTTACCGACGGTTTGGAGGCTAGGGTTACCTAACTATGCCGCCCCTGGAACTAAGAACGGATCTTCAATGTAGCCTAGTTCGCCAGGTACAAAGGAAAGCAGTCCAGAGTCTAGACTGGGCCCGGTTGTAAACTTCTTGGTTTCGGAGAGGGCGTTTCGGTTGAAGATTTTGGGTTGAAAGATTCAAGACTCCAGAAGAAGAGCAGCACGGCTGATGATATAAATCCTGCCATACCATACGGACCCTAGAATTATGGTCTATTCCTTACTATGGCTAATGCAGGGTTCATCTCATCTACAACAGCCGCGGAGAGCTGGCCCTTGGTTGGACCCACCGTAAAAAAAGACAGGAAGAACCCCTTTGGGCATGGGTTCAGGGTTTAGGGTTTAGGGTTTCGGGCATTAACTAGACAAGACTAAACAAAAGAAATCTCTAAGAATGAGAGGGTGGGCTTAGGGCTTAGGGTGTTTCGGGTAGAAGGCTTTCGGATAGAATCGGATTCTTTCTGAGCAGTTCGGTTTCGTACACTTCCGTAGGAGAATTGCAGGTTAACCTTTGGGGATCTTCGAGGCGCTATGGTAGGTTTAGGGTTTAGGGTGTAGGGTTTAAGGTTTAGGGTTTAGGGTTTGGTACTGTGGTTTTCCAAAACGGCCAAAGGTTTTATCTAGTCTACTACTAAGTCAATAGAGGGGCCTCAAGAATTAGAAGAGGGTTTTGGCGCCCATTATACTGAAATTATAACAAGGAACCCCCCAAAACAGTATTGGTAGTTATTGAGGCCCCTATATTACAGAGCTCACAAAGAAAGCCTCACTGGCAGCGGAACTGCAAACTTCGGTCTTGATATGATCGAAGCTGAGTGTGAAAGCGGTGCCATGCTAGTAAAACAGCTTCAAAGCCAAATTGACCTTGAAAGGCAATAAATCCCTAAGGGTCCATGCAACCAAATAGCATATACTTTGGCCCCAAAGTACCTATATAGGGACTACTTCAAGGCCCAAGAATCTACCATGTGGGTCGGGGCCTCAATAATTACCAATACTATTTGGGTGGTTCCTTGTTATAGTTATAGTGATTATAGTGTCATGGGCCCCAAACTCTATAAAGCCTACAATCCACAAACCACACTTTTTAGCAATGCTACTTAACAACCTGCAAACTCCAAAGGTCAAAATGTATGTGCACATATACGCGTGTATATATGTGGTGTATATACATATGCAATCTTGACAGTATACCCGAATACTGCTACCTCTCCGGCATCGTGCCAAAACCCTAAGCCAACCCTAAACCCCTAAACCCTAACCTGAAACCCTAAGCCCTAAAGCCCTAAGCCCTTTGCCCTTAGCCCTAAACCCTAAGCCCTAAACCCCTAAACCCCTGAACCCCGGCTCGGATATGACGTTTCAGGATCAGAGGAGCAGGACCCCAACCCTCCAACATACGCACATGGAAGTTGCCACTGAGATGAAGTAGGCTATACTTTAGGGTAGAAGGACTTGAATATGTGTGTATATATATACATATGTATATGCATATGTATATGTATATGTATGTGTATATACATACACACGTAATATGTACATACACATACATACATATATATATATATATACATACATACACATTCTTATTGGTTTAATACTTGTTTTTCAGACCGTTAGCAAGAGTTTCAGGGCTTGCTGGGGAAGACGGGAAAGCTACAAAGACACTGTTTCGGGTTCTGGTTTAGAGTGAACCCCGAGCCCATCATCCTAAACCCTATATACACCTCTCGGACTCTATATTGCCCCCCCCCCTCTTCCAAAAATTCTCTCTTTCTACTCTCAGCCTTAAACACACCCATAACAAACAATCTCATGCCTCAAAGCCGTTTACTCATGCCCTCAAACCCCCAGATGATCCCTTCATTCGCCCCAACACCCCAAGTCTTTGAAGACCCGGCCCGGATCCCGAAACGCCACCAACAGACCCCTGATCTTCAATCCAAATATGGGCAGTTCTCTGAATTAGGGTTTAGGGTTTAGGGTTTAGGGCACGGCACCAGTATAAAAAGGTAGTTTAGACAAGCACCCATATAGGGGGGTCGGAATAATCTAGTACATGTTAGTACTAATATCCTTTCAAAGATCTTGTTTCATTCAGTCATCTGGAGGTATTGGGGCTTCAGAGCTCTGGAGTCTTGCGTAATGTCACCTGACCTCAAAGTGTTCCTAAGCTTTTTACAAGACTTGTTACAGGATCTTCATAAGGCTTCATGTGAGCCCGCTTTATTCGGTGACTAGGTTCGCCAGTGCGTAGGTCTTGCAGGAAGCGTTTGAGTCGGCCGGGGAGAAATCCGCCTCGTCCTGGAAACCATGACTTCTAAACAGGTCTCAAGGTTTTCGGGTTAGTGTTCAGGGTTTAGGGTTTAGGGTTTAGGGTTTAGTGTTCAGGGTTTAGGGTTTAGGGTTTAGGGTTCAGGGTTTAGGGTTGGGGGTTTGGGTTTGGACGGGTTTCGGGCTTGGGGTGTAGGCTAGGGCCCAAGAATCCAACTAGGGGTTTGCGGTCATGACGAGTTTTTCTGGCCGAACAACGATCCCTGTCGTTCTTGTAAAGATATTACATTCTTAGTACTACTATGAAGAATGCTATTGTTATTACTGTTATCAACACAGTCACTAACCATAGCCGCGAGTTATATGTCATCATTTGTTGAAGGACTCTTATGGCTGAGGGCCCGGTCCTTAGTTGAAATCCCTGCCTGCCGAGCTCAGTACCGGCCAAAACGGTTCGGGGTTAGGGTTTAGGGCAGTTTAGGGGTTTAGGGGTTTGCGGTTTAGGGGGTTTAGGAGTTTAGGGTTTACGGGATTCGGTAGAAGGGCTTCGAGGGTTTCCAGGGTTTAGGGTCTAGGGCTTCCGGGTTGTTCCAAGTTCTAGTAGCATGCAGCAGCAACTAGCTAGTTGAAGCAGCAGGAGCAGGGCCGACAGGGGACGTGATCGCAAACAACTCCCCAATCAAGATAGTAATGAGAATAGCTTTGGGAGCCTGCAGATGCGAAATTATGATTTATGGGTTCGGGTCGAGTGTCTGGGCTTCGGAAGTTCAGAGAGGCAGGGTTTAGGCTTTACCCATAGTCTCCATTGTAGTTCCTTTTTGGGGTTCAGTTATGCGAGCCTACATATAAAATGGTTTAACCAATAAAAGGAACTACAATGGAGACTATAGGTAGGGGCAATGTCGGGTGCCGAATTTCTGTTGCCTGTCCGCGTGCCATCCGAATGTTTACCCACGTCACCTGCCTGACCGGTGTCGTTTGCTTTTGGTCGTTCTTATACATTACATTTCATGTTCTTACCACAGGATCTTCACCCACCCGAAGCCCTCAACCATAAAGCGGACCCCAAATTCAGGTAAGTTTGATGAAAACCTGCATCCCCCAAAGAACGGGTCCGTGTACACGGTGCACTGCACACCTGCCAGAAAGTTCAGGTAAGTGGAGCTCATTGAAACTGCTCTGATAATCGCGACTCTCCTTGATCTCATTAGCTGCCAATGCCGCGCGTATTTCCAAGCAGCTTGATGGGAAGCACACAAGGTTCTACTTACTATCCAACACTTACGCGCAACCACTCACACACTCACCCATATTGCTAAGGATAACTGTACACACCCTGCAATAACAAGTATACGTCGAATTGGCGGCTAGACGCACCAAATCCTGAAACCTGAATCCGAAACCCTGAACCGCGGTTCGGACCTTGAGATGAGGCGTTGTTCATTTACAGTGTGAATAAGAGAACAGCCCCTGGACAGCTGCTTTAGGGTTTAGGGTGGTGGTGGTGGTGGTGGTGGTGGTGGTGGTGGTGGTGGTGGTGGTGTAGGGGTAGTGGTAGTAAGAAGTTGCTGCAGTGCTTGATTTGTTTATCACGGTTTAGGGTTCCTAGCACAGACAACGGCCATGGAGAAGGATGAATGCCTAAAACGTGGGGCTCAAATGCTCGACTCGTCTATGAACGGTCATTCGCCTAAGGCTGCAGAATGTTGAGGTACTTTATTGAGGCCACACAACACCATATACTACAGTTGCAGTGAGATTTAGAATAGGCTCCTGGGTGCATTTTCGTATGCTCATGTCGGGACTATGACAGGGATATCACTTACCCACGCACGACTAAGTAGCTTTAACCACTCTATGCTATGTAGACTTTGGAACCCGGTGCATCCTAAACCCTAAACCCTAAACCCCAAACCCCTAAACCCTAAACGGTGCTCCTTTTGCAAACCGGATGACTATTGGCTCATGGCGCGCAAGACTCCAAGCTTTTCATCCTCGGGCCTGCTATAATGTCGGGGCCCTAATAGTTTCTAATAGGGTTTTGCGGGACTCCTGAGTATAATTCTAGTATCATGGGCCCCAAGACTCTATTCTGATTCCTAAGGCCCCTACATCCCCTAAACCCTAAACCCTAACGCCGGTGCAGCGTAGAGCTTCGGGGTTCGAGGGCTAAGCCCTAAAGCCAAGCCCCAAACCCAAAGCCCTCCTGATGATGCCTTATAAGGCCTTGAAAAAAGGTCGGCTATCTGTGGTTATTATATAAGGTATATAAGGCTTAAGGGGTATAAAGGGGGTTTAAAATTTCAACCTACCTCTTGAACCCAAAACCCTCAACCTGAAGCCCTAAACCGTCAGCCTAGCCCTGCTAGACCCAGGACCCTAAACCCCAAGCGATCAAACCTGGGTCACACGAGCCCCCTAAACCCTAAACCCTAAACCCTAACGCCAAACCCCTAAACCCTAAGCCCCAAGCCCTAACCCAAACCCCTAAGCCCTAACCCCTAACCCCTAAACCCTAACCCCTAAACCCGAACCCCTAAACCCTAAACTGTTAAACCTCCGCGCTGATATCAGGCCTCCAGTGCAAACATCGCTGGTGCCGTTCCTGGGATGCTACCCTAGACCCTAAGGGTTTTTTGGTTTGGGTTTAGGGTGTAGGGTGTAGGGTGTAGGGTTTAGGGCTTAGGGTTTAGGGTTTAGGGTTTGGGTTTAGGGTTTAGGGTTTAGGGTTTAGGGCCTAAGCTGTCTTCACAATCTATCAGACCTCTGCATACGGGCGTGCAGGGCCCAGGGCTTGGTCAGTAGGGGTTTAGGGTTAGAGTTTTGGTGATGTTCGGGATCTGTCCAGAAATTTGGGCGATATTGTCCATGTTGGAAGTTTACGAATCATCAGACACCAGAAAAAAGTCTCGTTAGGCCGTGTTGAAGGGTGTTGCAGGCCTTCGTAGGATGTCATAGGACCCTAAAGTGGAGCAAGCGTCCGACTGCGGTACCCTGTTTGATTATACCTTATTTATAAGCCCTTTTGCTGCAGGCTTGCAAGAACCTAAACCCCGAAATCCCTCAACCCCCTAAAGCCCACAACCCCTACAACGCTAAAGCCCCAATCGGGAGCCCTAAAAATGAGGATGCCATGAAGAAAAGCTAGGGATGTCGTGAGACTCTACACACGCCAGGCAGGGGGGGGTGGTTGCCGGTGTGTTGCGGTTTAGGGTTTAGAGTGCTTTTTGGGGGTTTAGGGTTTAGGGTGTTTAGACTACGGCTCCAGACAGGTCATTCTTTTCTTTATCGTTTTATATGGGCTGTAGTATGTTTGGAGGCCTCCCTGCATCAGGAGGGCCACATTTTCCAAACCTCTAAGTCACAAACAAGTACAGCCCAAACCCTAAGCAAGACATGCACTTACGAAACGCAACCTCGCAACTCGCGAAGGCAGGAGCGAACGCTTAGATTAGGTGTTTGCTGTATTTTTCCTTTTGTCTATCAATGAACCCTAAGAAAGAGTAGTTGCAATTATTCAGGCACCTAGATCTCGGGATTGTGAATATTCTCGCGCCCAAGCTTTGTGGTCACATAGCAATACTCCAAACCCTAAGCTCATCATCAGGTTGGAGACGGAGACCAGTCCCAAACCATCGACGCAAAGAGTCTCCAGAGTGAAGGCGAAGCCCATTTCCGCCAAGGTGGCATTGGCACACTCCTGTGCTTCAGGGTGCGGGGTTTTTGCTGTTTCGCGACTTCTTGGGTGCTAGTGGCTAGTTCTTTCTGGCTTCTCACTTTTACACATGGCCCTCAATGCTGCGAGGTTGAGTGTTAGGAGGTTCAGATGCTGGGCACCTCATAGTACCCGTTTTCGAACCCAAGAAGCAACCCTCACCGAACCCTTCTATAATAGGGGTGCATTTGAGGGAACCGAAAAGAGCTCTATAATAGGCCTCTCTTTACAGGACCCACTGCACCAGACAGCAGCTTCGTCCAAAGGCCCACCACAACCCAAAACCGGAAACCTCTAAAACTCCATAAAACCCCGCAACCCCCAACCTAAACCCGAAACCTCTAAAAGCCGTTAAAACTCCCTAAACCCTAAACCCTATAAGCCCTAAACCCCAAGAAACTTCCAAAAATCCTTTAAGCTCCCTAAACCCTAAACCCTATAAGCCCTAAACCCCAACCCGAAACCGCTGAAACCCTCTCAATTTTTAGATCCTCCAAAAGCCCGAGAAGCCCCCACAAAACCCTCTTGAAGCCCTTAAGGAAACCTTACCGGAACCCCTTATAGGTCCCTTGAAGGAACCCTTACCGGCCACAAGAAGGGTTCCTTTAAAGGGTTCTATGAGGGTTGCTTTAGGGTTTAGGGTTTAGGGGTTTAGGGTTTAGGGTTTAGAGTTGCTATATGGGCTTCTTTAAAGGGGCCCTTACTGTGAAGGCATTTCTTTTCAGATGATCCCAGCCTGGGGAGCAGAAGAGACATCCGCCAAGCAAATGCTGGTGGAGGCCCAGGACGTGATTCCTCAGGCTTTTAGGGTTTAGGGTTTAGGGTTTAGCGTTTAGGGTTGGGCTGTAAGGTTTTGAAGTTGAGGGTTAGGGATTTAAGGCCTTGCCGCGGTTTTGGGGTTTAGAGTTCAGGGTCGGTGGTTTCGGAATGCCTGGCAATGAGGCTGTGTGATAGAAGTCTAGCAAGGGCTATCTATATATATATATATGGGTTTTGTACCGCGTTTTCAGGGTTATACGTGAGGGCCTGACGTATCTGGAGAGGTCGTGAGGTACACCAAGAAGAAGTCCATATGAAGGGGCTAGAAGGCAAGGCTGATTCGAATAGGTTTAGGGTTTATAGTTCCAAACCTTTGTACTACGTGGACTTCGGTTTGGGGGCTGTAGAGGTTTTGGCTGTGTTTTGCGTGTGTTTTGCGGGTTCGGGGGCTTGCAGCAGGTACGAAACAGAAAGGTCCAGTGAGTTTTCACTACAGTCTCCCCATGATATCAAACCGAACGCTTGCACTTATCAAACTGCCTACGGAGCCCGATACACGTTCTTAAATCCGAACATACACTCTGCTTAATCTAGTTGTTGAACGCGGGGCTGGGCTGACCCTGAACCCTAAACCTTAAGCCCTAAAGACCAAAACCAAAGTCCTAAGCCCTAAGCCCCAAACCCTAAACGCCAAAATTCAGAGCCTAACCCCTAGACCCTAAACCCTAAATCCTGACTCCGGGGAGTTGGGAACCACGGGATGAAAAACCTAATACGAAGGCATGAAGACTGAGCACTGATCATGCAGGGCCCTTAATAACTAGAATGGGGTTTTGGGGTGGTTGCGGACCGAAGTCTGAAGCGAACAAGATGAAAGATGCCTTGTGCATCATTCAATCATCTAGCTTTCTTTGAGCTATAAGTCCTAACTGGGGTTTTGGGGTATGTCATGTTATCTTTATTACAAGGAATCCCTAAAAATAGTACAAATAATCATTAAGGCCCCTATATCATTTATTGTTCTTGTTGTACGCCTTTTTCCTTCAGCCCTGGGGTCTCAGGAACGTCTGATATTTTGGGGGGTTGGGGTTTAGGGTTTAGGGTTTAGGGTTTAGGGTTTAGGGTTTAGGGTTTAGGGTTTAGGGTTTACGAGCAGTCCTATATGAGAGGTCATATCAAGGGATCTACGTTGTCATATCTTAGACAGTTTCTAACTGTTACAGAGTGGGGATCGGCACCCAACTAATACTCGTTTGGGATCCTTGCCTTCTAACAAATTCTGGATTGGACTCATTACGCTATACTATACTGTATCAGAAAATACTCTGCTTTGCTATGCTATACTAAACTGTACTCTACTCTACTACTCTACTATACTTTACCGTACTGTAGTAGACTACTATACTTTACCGTACTTGACATAACTATACTGGACTCTGCCATGCTGTCCTATAGCATAATCTCGGACTCCTCAGCATGGCGTTCAGCCCCGGAGATTGCCAAGATTGAAAAGCCTAAACCCTAAAGCCTAAACCCGGAACCCTAAGTCCTAAACCCTGCTGCAGCCCTAAACTAGACCCTAAACCCTATTACAGCCCTAAACTAAGCTTTGAGGGACATTTGGACAGCATGAATGAGGGAAGCATCTCAGATCCTAACTTGGCCATGAAAAGCCTGCCCTTTGACCCTTTGAAGTACTTCTATGAGGAAACCACCGTATGGAACTAGTGGATCCAACAACGGCAGCTTATTTAAGCCTGAGGCAAACCCTATAAGCCTTGAGCCCTAAAGCCTAATTCTAATGCCTTTGCCCTGAACTCTTTCTCCAGCCACGGCTCTGCACCGGTCACAATAAATGGCCACGAAGTCCTGTCCGTTGGCCGCAACCCGACATCCAAAAAATACATGACTCCGGATGGCTGCCGTGCAGTTTGTTAACCAAGGCTTATATGAGATAGCTTCGGGGGCCCATGGGGTTTTGGCGGATACTGGCATCTTTTCGTAGGCGAAACACGATTTTTATCCAGACACTTTGACATCATACCATTACCACGACCAGTGCCTCTTCTCACCTTCGTCCAAAAGCAGAGTGAGTGTGTAGAATCCCGCAAATGAGAAGCATGAGGAGTGTAAGCATGAATAAGTACATAGTAAATGAATGAATCAACAGACAACTTAAATAATCAGCACAATATATATATATATATAGACATACATACATACATACATACATACATACATACATACATACATACATACCTGCATACATACATACATACATACATACATACATACATACATCAAGAAAGCCCACACAACACCTCAACTCTTCGAAGCAAATCCTCTCTCCAGCACATGGTCAGCAAATTCCAGACCAACGAAGTTTCCCACGAGGCACTCGTTCCAATTTAGTGCTCTTTCTGATGCTGGGTTTAGCGGTTCGGGAGGCTCGACAGGAGTTCATGGATTCGTGGTGAAAGGGACTCCAGTTGATGGGTGTGCGGGTGAGGCTGAGGCTAATAAATCAGGGGTGACCGGACCGACACATTTCGAATGAACGGCTAGATCAGAAGAAAGCAAGATTTGTATGGTCCATGCCTGTTCCGTACTGCCCTCTAGGGTTTTGGGTTCGGATCCAATTTTGATCCTAGGGCCCTTTACAGCATCCTCCCTATACCCTAGAAGCCTAGACAAGCCCCATGTCATCTCTTTGCAGGACCTGCGGCTAAACTTGGACCGCAAGAGCCCACAACAGGAGCGAGGGGAACGCTGGATCCGAAACATCCTTTAGGGCCTTCGGGCTATGAACACGCCATGCAAGCCTCTAACCAACCCCCATTAAAGCCCCTAATGTAGGAACCTGATTAAGAAACCCTGGCCCTATAACCCCAATATATTAGGGTTCATATTAAGAACCCTAATAAAGTAATCAGGTTCCTATACTACAACTCCAATGAAGCGCCTCCAAGCCCTAAGCCATAAAGACCCACAAAAGTCTCTACCCTAAACCCTAAACCCTAAACCCTAAACCCTAAACCCTAAACCCTAAACCAAGTCTCTACGGCCCTGTAGCATCCCAGGATGCCGGGTGCTGGGGTGCCGGAGAGTCTCAGGAAGTAGGGGGTCCCGTGAGACGAAATTAGGGCTTTGCGGCCTGAGGCACAGGAAATTATAGGATCCCACAGAATGTGTGCGTATGTATACATATATATATATATGTATATATATATATATATTTTTTCAATATGCATGTGTGTATATATATATATATATACATAAGCAACGAAAGGACTTCCATGGCTCAAGACCCCCCCCCCCACCGGACCTCCTCGGGCTTGTATGCGGCCTCGGGACGTGGCAAAGGCCATGTTTTCTCGCCCGAAAGGACCCAATCATTAGGCTCCGGTCTAGCATAAGGGTTGAGGGTTTAGAGTTTAGGGATGGAGATTGGGTACTTGGATCCTCCTTGTAACATGTGGCTTTAGGGCAAATTACGTTGAAACCGATGCACTTTACATGCGGACCTGGGTTTCACCCTAAACCCGAAACATAAACCCCTAAAGCTTAGCCCTAAAGCGCTAAGCCCTAAACCGCCTAAGCCGCCTGGATCGCAAGTCCACAACAGGCTTCCAGATAGGGCTGGTGGTTTAAACCAAAACAGCGTCATGCACCACAGATGGTCATAGACACTATGTATATATGTATATTTATACATAGACAGATATGGACAAATAGATCCTTAAACCCTGTAGGCCCTCAGCCATAAGCCCTCTAGACCTTTATCATCTCAGTAGCCCAAACGGTGTCTCGCGGACTAAAACGACGGTAGCACACAATTAGGGTTTAGGATTTAGGGTTTAGGGTATCAGGGCCCTTTCACAACTTTGTGCGTTTGGGCGTGTGTCTTTGTTTTGGGTTGCTCTGGGAACAAAGACCATCGGAAAAACATGGTAACGCTGTATAACGCTACACATTCTGTTGCAGATTCTCGTGCAGTCTTATAAGACGACACATTCTGTTACAGATTTCTTGCGCATTCTTTCGGGAAAATGTCTTGCATCTAGGGCCAGCCTCGGATCTCGGCACTGCAGCCAAAAAATAGCGAGGACACTACATCCCTCAGAGTACAGTGTATCTAATCGCCGAAGCCCTGCTGCATCCTACATTGTACATACTATACACGCGCCCACGCCATGAGCTCAAGCACCACCGCACATGCTCACCAGATCCGGTCTTCAATGTCCGAGCCTCAAGCCTACCGTACCTGGGTCTTGAAGAACTGCTTGCATGCAACCACGGCTTTACGGGAAGGCTCAATTCAATAACTATCTAATTTTCAAGGAACCCTAAACCCGATGGGCACTCAGTGCTGAAACCTAACCTAAACCCGAAAAGCCAAACCCTGTCCCCTACTTAGGCCAAGCTACCCCGAAACCCTCGCCTCTCAACCGTAACGTGAACTCTACACCCAAACCTCACTCAAAACAAACCCCAGGCCAAGCCGAAAGGTTCAATCCCCGTGATGCAGGAGGCGGCCTCTTGGGGTGCAGGGACCCCCGACGGCTCAAAATGTTGCCGGGGACATGGTTATTGGGATGGAATGGAAGTTACTAGAACTGTTGCTTACAGGGGAAATGATTATTGGAATGGTGTTTTCGTGTTGATTTTATCAGGTTTCTATGATGGGGACGAGCCGGGAATGTTGTTCCTGACTCTTCCACTCTATGCCAAGGCCCGGTCAGAAAAGCCCAAGAATACCCTATGCATGAGCCCGGCGAGCCACCGAGCACATGCCGCATTGAGGGCACACCTGCGCCGCAAAAAGAAGAACAGCAACACGACTAGTTAGTGGAGTCTACAAATTTATTTGGGAGGTTCAAAAAAATAGCGCACCGACCATGTATGCACACACATACGTATGCATGCATGCATGCATGCATGCATGCATGCATGCATGCATGCATGCATTCATGCATGCATGCATGCGTCGTTGCATCCATCCACCCATGCGGCCATCCGCCCAACCATCCATGCATGCTATAAGTACACATGTTGATAGTTATGTATATGTTTATACGTATGTGCATATGCAGGTGCAGTTCATGCATGTATGTATGCATGCATATATATATATATACGTGTGTGTGTGTGTGTGTGTGTGTATGTATGTATGTATGCGGACGGACGGACGGACGGGTGGATGGACGGATGGGCGGATGGATGGATGGATGGATGGATGGATGGATGGATGGATGGATGGATGGATGGATGGATGGATGGATGGACGAGCCAATCCGGGATGGAAGACGGTTGGTTTCGCGTTTCCGCATAATACGATGGACCCTCCAGGCCAAAAGTAAAAGCCGCATACTCTCAACGATGACATCCTAGCATCCCCAGGGTATCTTTACTGTGTGCAAGCATTTAAAGCCTGTACACACACGCATACATACATACATACATACATACATACATACATACATACATGCATGCATGCATACATACATACATACATACATACATACATACATACATACATAACCTAC